CACATGTTAGCAGACACACAAGTGTGCAAATTGACATAACATAGCCTGTTGACTTCCATAAATGACAATGCAGGCTTAAAGTGTACAAAACCAAAAGTAGGTTAGACTACTTACACAAAGATTACGAGGAAAAAGCATAGATACATAGATAAGTGCAGCAAGTCACGGATAAGCTCCAAATAGAACGTGTACACAGCTTTTTTTTCCCACTGTCCTTCCATAAGCATGTCACTGACATAGAAAACATATTTGACAAACGTTGATATAGTCGTTGTTGCCAATATCATGTACCTGAAAACGACCAACAAGATTAACCAATCAAAAATGAGTGCCGATGAAAATGGATATGAAAAGAGATGACAGAAACCACATGATTTGCAAACAAGATGATAAAGAACGATACTTGATGCGCATAAAATACGTATAAAAATGTTCTATACACACAAACATAGAGATATACTCGGCATACAATTCGAATAAGTATGACTACTTGACATATACACAGCAGATGCAGGCGATACTTTCCAATATCACCCCATATGCATTACAGAGATACAGCAACATAGCACACACACACACATATCTAAAGAAAAGTTTAAGATGCATAAATAACATTAAAAGACATCAAATAACTTACTCGAATGAAAAGAAAAGGGAAACCGATGCTACCCGGGTTTGTATCAAGTACTTCACCGAGTTATACAAGAAAAGACAGTCAACAAGGAGAAGAAATCCCATGAAAGAAACAATCCGGATGTGAGACAACATTGGCACAGTTGGAGTTGTTTCAATGTATTCAACTCTCTTTTGAGCCAACCAATGCAACGACTTGATAAGTAAAAGAGCAGTAACCATAGCAAGAAACATAACAGAGAAGTCCTGCCGGAATATAGTGATGGCAAAAAGTATTTCCATGACTTCTCGCCATGATTGCTCATTCAGTCTCTCAACCTCTGCTTCTCGAAGAGAACCAAGAAAAATTCGTTTTGTCAGCTGCCACATAATGCACATGATCACCAAACCCATGTTGAGAAGAAGCACTAAACAGACTTTGGAGGTAGATAAATAAACTGTTGCCGGGTAGAACTGCCCTCTACTACTGAAGGCATGATAAATGACAGCCAGTGTGGCAACCACACTGAGTCCAGCATATGTCTGCAGCCTCATCATTTTGCTGTGTGCACTGTCACACCACAACATAACAAATTAGCTTCTCTGAAACAAAAGGCTAGCATGATAGTAGACTCATTTTTATTTAACCAACACGCATGGTTCAACTAAACTTCTCTTCCAAATTTCAGGATGGTCCTCTTTGGAATGTTGTCAGCTGCCAATTGACAGCGCATTGACAGATGTTTGTAATTCAGGGACGATAACCAAGAAGCAAGGGACTTAGTTATCATGATTATTTGAACAAAAATCCACCATCTAATTTGAACGTTTGATTATGATTATTCGGGATTGGGATGCAAAGTAAGAAACTTTAAAATCTGCCAAAAGATTCTCTAGAAAATACGTACACGTAATTTCAAAAACACACGTAATTGCAGGTTACTTTACAAGACATCAAGGGCATTGTTTCCGGTAATCACATTCGACGTAACAGGCTAAACAACAGATAATAAGAAAACACTACGAAGGCAAAACCAAAAACAAGTTAAAACCCTAAAAATCACAATAAATCGACAGGCAACATTCTTCGTTAACGATCAAGGATACAATCACACAGAAACAGAATCAGAAACGTACGATAACAACAAACCCTAAAATCTCCCGTCAAAAAACCTTCCAAAGTTGAAAAGGAGTTCGATTTACCTGTTATGAAACTCTCGGTTTTGTACCTTCTGCAAATTGGCTTTGTATTGTACACCAAAAGGCTAATCGTACCTCAAATCATTTGAATTCAAGAAATCAACGAGGAGATAGAACGAATAGGGGTTTGAAAACGTACGAAAAGGTGGGGGCGAAAATTCGAGAACCCAGATACGATGCAGATCGGGGAAAAACAGGACGAAATTCGATAAAATTGAACGACAAAAGGGGTCTAGTTCTCGTCACCGCTGCAGATTTTGACCAATTGCTTCTTTCCACGTGGACCATGGCTGCTCTTGCTCACGTGGCAAGAAGGTTTCATTAACTTTTTTATATTATTTATAATTTATTTATTGGTCGGTAACAAATTCGGTTTAAGAGTGTCGATATCACGTTATATGAAAACAGTTACAAAGGCGGTTTTGGTTTCAAAGGGTATTATTGTCATTTCAAAGTATTAGTTCTTTTAACTCGATCTCAATGAATAAACAAATCATCTACCGATGGAATTTAAAGATTTCAATTTCTTTAAAAATATGCACCGAACAAATAAATATAATTTGGTCAATGGAATTAATTATTCAAATTTGTTCCAATCGCGTGAACCGAACACTGCATTAGCAGTTATGATCACGACGTCTGATCATGGTTGGTTGTAAACGAGTCAAGTGATGTTAGATTCGACAATGTTAGGTTAAGCTTGAATTTGGTTTGATAGCTTGACGAATCATATTGATGTGTGATTCGAGCTGGATTCAAGGCCCAAAAGAATATATATATATCATAAGGTTGACCCGACAATGGGACTGTTGTTAAGTGTACCCCATTATCCATTTGGAACGTGATACATGACGGGACGATGTGGTACAAAACTTGGCCTACGTTTTGTACGATGTTTGACCCGATAAGATGGACCTGAATGAGATAAACTGCAATTTTTCTATTCCACCAAAATAGATGGAACAAAATCAAGGAGATAAGACAAAATTAGTAAAATACTAAATTTATTTGTGGAATTAGAACCTGAAACCGACACATGTGGGTAGGTAGAGAATACCTAGGGGCGCGAATAATGGATAATACTTGAATTGGAAATAATAACAATCTGCAAAAATTGGAAAAAATAAACAGTATGAATGGTCTTCTCTCTTAATGAATCAAATATAAGAGGCTAATAAAAGCTTTTTTTATACAAATCAAACAAGGCGTAAGCGTTTAGATCTATCCTAGTAGATCATTATGCCAATAATATTTGACGTCTCTCCTAAATCCTTCATCACAGAACACTATCCTAAACCAGTATTTGACACCCTTAAATGTTGGGATGTTGTTTCCGATGATCAATATGTCATGGACATATACGATCAAAAATATTATTATGCTCTCACTGATTTTATTCTATGCACAAGATTCATCTTCGTTATTTACAAAAATCAAAGTCCTTGATTTTCTCGTCAAAATGAAGATTCTAACTACGAGATGTTTGCTTCGGTCCATAAATGGACCTTTGCAATTTGCTTCGGTCTATTAAGGAACACAGTTTTAACATCCATCTGTCATATCTCGTAATCATAATACGCAACTATAACAAGAAGAATGTTGATGGATTTAGTAATAGTTAGTGGAGAAAAGGTCTCATCATAATCAATTCCTCGAGTTTGAGTGAAACGTTTTGATACCAACCTAACTTTTTAGGTATGTACAATCCATTCATGTCAGTTTTCTTACTGAATACCTATTTACACTGAACGACTTTGCAGCCGGTAGGTGCATCTACCAAGTTCCAAACTTGGCAGTCGAAGTGCTTTTATCTTTTCGCCAAGTTGATTCTCTACTTCATTTTGAAACTCTTTGAATATTTCGAAGCTTTTAAATTTATTTTTCACCAGGTAAACATACGTATATCTACTTAAATCATCAGTAAAGGTAATTTATTAGTGATGAACATTTCTCGTGTTTGAACTGAAAGAACCACATACATCAATATATGCAACTTCTAACAGTTTTGTCGCCTCGCCCTTTTCAGGTTTGTCTTTAAAAGGCGTTTTTGTCATCTTGCCTAATACACAAGATTAACATGTATCATATGAATCATCGCATGATCCCAAAACTCCATTCATCTGGAGTTTGGTTATCATGTGCTTCTTGTTTATATGTCCTATACGATAATGCCTTAAGTAGGTCCCATTTAAGTCCCGCTTAATTTGTTTGTTGTTTACGTTATACGTTGATTTATGATTACAACTATTTTTCTGCATATCGATCTCATAAATACCATTGTATGACTTAGCCACAAAATACACACATTGTTAAGGTAAACAAAAATAGAATTATTACTGTAATTAAACATAAATCTAGTATGTTGTAATTGAGAAAAAGAAACTATGTTCCTAGTAATGCTAGGTCCATAAAGACGCTTAGGTGGCGTTTGTTTTTTAAGAGGTGCTTAAGTCTGAAGTCTGAATTCACTTTTGAATTTTAAGAGGTGGTGCTGAAGTCTGAAATCTGAATCAGTCGGACTGTTTGTTTTTACGTCTGAAATATGAAATCTGAATCATTGAAATCTAGGCTTTCTTTGCAAGCATTGGAAGCTCCAAAAGCAATTAAGAGGTTTTAAGTGAAAATGTTACCTCTAAATAATTCAGACATAATCAGAGCTTTTAAGCTCTTRATTGAAAAAAAAAAACAAACACACTTAATACCCTAAGGTCTGACCGATTCAGACATAAGAGGATATTAAGTGCTTTTTAGGTAAAAACAAACAGGGCCTTAATAAATATTAAGGTGAGACCATTTTGAACCTTCATATAATATGTCTTTTGAGCAAGAACAACTACCTTAGTTCAATTGCTTATCCTTATCTCCATATGGTCTAATTTCATATTTTATTCACTTCTTAGACCTATAAAGCAGTACAAATTTGAGTACTGCACCCAATATCCAATACCCAAGGGTCATAATCAAAAGTAAACAAATCAAAAATAAACATACCTAAAGCTCTGGCTGCAACAGCTTCTGCTTCTTGTTCTCTGCCAACAGGGTTGGACAGTTTTTCTTTCAGTACCCCTTTTAGTTGTTAGTTGAAGCAAGTCAGGCTCTCATGTACTCAAACGCTACATGTTATATGTTTATTTTTATACTTGAAAACTCGACCAAACTCGAATCAAGTTCAAACTATAATCATCGATAAAAGTTCGGTTTATTTGTAATCTCAATCATAACACTGATAATGTATTTAAGAGGAGCTTTGTGGTCGTAAAACAACCACATGGAGGGTCTTTGTCGCTCAACGTCAAACCGATGCATGTTTTATTTTTTAATTCAAACTGCATCTAAACAGGTTCTTATAACATGTTTTTGTTACAATTGATTAATATTTTTTTTTGTCATTTGTCAAATACTTATTTAAATATTCATAACTCGAATTCAATTATTTATATAAGTTTTTTACAACTTTCGTGAAATTTTTAATAAATAAATTATTGAAATTACTTATTTTGAATGTTTTTATTTCTAAACAATTTTTAAATAAATAAATTATTGAATTTTTAAAATTTGGTTACCTGCATTATTTTAATTTCAAAAAGTTACATATAGTCGACTAGAAAGATTTAGGGGCTGTTTGGCAATTGCTAAATGGTTTGGTGCAGAATGATTAAGTGGTCAGAATGATTAAGAGGCTCTCATGATATAGTGCAAAATGAAATATAATTGTTTGATAATTATGCAAAATGAAATTAGGGCTCTTAATGGTTAAGGGAGATCCATGATACAAAATCATTCAGAGGGTTTTAGAACCATTAAGAGACAAACTTTTTTTTGTCAAACAAGATTCACTTCTTAACGATTCAGATGTTGCCTCTTAATGGAACTATCAAGAGGCAAACAAACAACCCCTTAGAAAAAACTTTAATCAATTTTATCGTTCTCAACCCTTACGTCATTCAGATCCCTCACATCCAACGATGTCACTTCCCCTCGTTACCCCATCGTCGTTCGTTCTTCATACCATCTATAGGCACCGTCTGCCCCCACCATCACTTTTCCTCTTTTTGATTTGTGTTCTTGGATTCTCACCATTTTACAATAATTTCGTACGACACATATAAGACAGATCAAATCAAGGGAGAATCAAGGGGAAACCCATCAAAAAGAGAAAAATTGATTGCAGGGCCAACAACGATGAGTGACGGTGATAGATGGGAAAATGATGGAGCGACAAAGAGAGCGATGATGCTGGATGCAAACGGGTTTGAGAATGATAAAATTGTTTCAGATTTTTTTTACGTTAAAACCTGTCTTGGTCATGTAGTTTTTTAGTTAAAATAACTTATATAACTAGTTTCTAAAAGTTCGACGATTTATTTATTATTAATTTTTGTATAAACTTAATCATTTAAAATAAAAAAATTTGATAATTTAATCATTTAAAAAATTCTAAAATAATATTATTCAAAATAAGAAGGTTTATTAGAATTTTCTCCTTATATTAGAGATGTTATAAGAAAATGTAACAATTAACTAAGGGGCCGTTTATCAAACACTTACCAGGTAAATGTTTATCGGTACAATTTAACACTATTATTTACTTACCGGATAAGATTTTAGTCCACCGAAACGACATTGTAACCAACAATTTACCCGGTAAGCGCTTACCATGGTAAGAGTCGTCGCCTTCACTTACCGGGTTAAACTTTTGGTCTTTATCTCGCTCTTATCGAGTAAGATTTTTAGTCATTACCATATTCATCCGATGAGACAATGTTACTTAATAAACCTTATCCGGATAAGCATTTGGTAAACAACCATGAAATGGTTTTTATTTTTGTAGAAAAGAGTTCGACCGACGTAATTACATGGAGTCACGTGCAATATTTCACGTGATAGTCACCTTTTATTTTATGGCATCCATTTTCACAAATATAATATACAGATTTTTTAAATAAATTTATATATTTAAAAGAAGTTTAAATTTTAATTTCACGAATATAATCTAATTTATTTTTTTAGTCATTATAACTTTTTGAAATAAATAAAAAATAATTATAAACTAAAACATTATTTGGACGGACATTTCAATTAATTTTATTATCACTTTATTTTTCTAATTATACTACTAATTAATATTAATATCTATTTATACCGTCAATTATAAATAATATTAACTATTACTTAATTTTAAATTTAAATTCTTCATTATTTTTATTTTATTATCAAAAATTAAATTTAACAATTTTAAAAATGTTTTTTTTACATTACATAAAGATTAAAGTTCTTAATTTTGTTTCATAAAAATAAAACTTTTGATAAATATTTTTAATAGAATATTTATTTTCTTTTGAGGAATTAATAAATAATTAAGATATCGATCAACTTCTTATTTAATTTGTACTAAAAGGGTACTCACATAATGCAGTGAGATACATCTTGATTTTAGTGTTTCATTTTTTTTTGGACGATATTATAATACGGTTTTATGTGGTTTTGAGAAAGCGATAATGTTTTTGGTTTTGAATAAAATATAAATATGAAGATATTATAAAAAAAAAATATCGATATTAGTATCAAACTAAATATTTAAAAACTTTTTTTGTGTATTTATTTAATTCTTTTTTATTTTTGGTTTAATAATATAATTTTTTATAAAGATAATAATTAAGTATTTTGTCAGAAGTTAATGATTATCTTAATTATATTTTAGTTTTTTATATTTAAATGAAATGTTTATCCTCTATTTGATTATATTTGTCTGAAATTGGTTATACGAATTCAAACATGAAGCTTTAATAAGTTGTATTTACGCACAAGTTACTTGTAATCTTGAATTTTAAGTAATATGTATCGATAAACAGTACTTCATGCATAAAAAATAATTTTTAATAGTTTTTGTCAAATGATTTATAATATAGTATAGATAATATATATTGGTTATCTGAAATCATCATTTTATTTAATATCATTAAGAAAAGGTAAAAATAGTAAGCTATAATTTATGTTCTTCTAACTTTTGATTGGGTAAAAAAAATAATAAAATGACGAAAATACCCTTCATTTTGACGGGGGTTTTGACGGCTGTTAGAGGAATGAGATCAAATTGGACCTCTTTGCAACCACGTTTGTCAGTTTGTAATTTTAAAACTGTAAAAACTAAAAAATGTTATTATCGACAAATCACATGGACCAAATTTGTAGCTTACACTTGATAAAATTACAAATTATTCATTATATACTATAATGATATTCACGCAATACAGCGAGATAATCTCGATTTTAATGTTTCGTTTTATACAGTCTTTGCCAATATCATAGTACAATTTTATGTGGTACCGAAAAGACGATAATGTTTTTATTTTTTGAATAAAATATAAAATTGAAGGTATGATAAATTTTTAAAAAAAAATACATCGATTTTAGTATCAAATTAAATATTTAAAAGTTTTTTTTATAATTTCTGTAATTCAGTTTTTTAATTTAAATTTAATAATAAAATTATTTGTTTTTGGTTTGATAATATATACTTTTTACAAAGATAACAATTAATATTTTGTTAGAATTCAATAATTATTCTAAATATATTTTAGATTTTTTATATTTAAAATGAGATACCTATCAAGTATTTGGTTATGTTTATCTGCAGTTAGTTGCATTGATTCAAAATGGAGCTTTAATAAATTGTACATATGCACAATTTATTTGTAAGCTTGAATTTTAAGTAATATGTAGCAATAAACAGTACTTAATGCATAAAAACTAGTTTTTAATAGTTTTTACCAAATGTTTTATAATATAGTATAGATTAGTTAATTTATTGAGTCGTTGATGAACAAAATATTAATTAATTAAGGTCACTAATTAAATGAATAATGTTTTATATAGAGGGTGTTTGGGATTGCTTATAAAACAACTTATTGACTTATTCCGGTGTGTTACCGATAATAAGCATTTTTGAGTGTTTGGATAAACAACTTATACCGGTGCCAAACCGGTAATAAAAAGTTTTTAAAAAAGTTAAACTCTTCTGACTTATAATAAATTGATAAGTGCATTTGTAGAAAAGCATAAGTTGTTTCAAATAATCAATCTCAAACACTCCCATATTAGTTAAGTATTGAGTAATTGAGTAAAGTTCAATTTTGATTCCTAAACTTTGTAGTTTTTAACATGTATTGTTCCTAAATTTTAAAAACTCGAATATGGTCCCTACCGTTTGTTGATTACCAATACACTTCGTCTCTCTATTTAACGATCATTAACTTTATATGATAGTCCAGTTAAATGAAAGGTAGTTTAGACTTTTGTCATTTCCTCTCATTTTTCTTTAAAACAACAAAATTTACTTAATGTGTATTATATATATATATATATATATATATATATATATACGTATTTATTTATGTTTAATATACATATACACGTAGTGTATATATATATACACAATTATACACACATAGACAACCATCACAACACTTGATGAAGACAAAACAATTGTAGTACTTTTTTTTAATCAACCTAAATATCCAACCTGCTATGCGAGCCGACTAATCCCAAGCAATCACCTGCTTTGCAGATAGACCGGAGTCACCGCATTTGAACATCTGTAGCCATAAGGGGATTTTTATATCTCATTGGATTTAAACCTGAGACATCCTAGTACTTTTGACATTTGAAGCCAAGCTTAAACCAATCAGGCACCACCCTTGTGGTTTACTTTTTGGAACCTCTAACTCCGGCAACATCTTTCTCCGGCTTCTACCCACCCCTTTTCAAATCCCATGGTAGTCATGCAGCTCAGTTGACAAAGAGGTGAAACAATTTTACCCAAATACAAGACCAGTATCGTATTCACGATCTCGAGCTCCCTCGTTAGAGTGAGCCAGAAAAACGACCCCTCATATTAACGTCATTGGAAGCGGGTTTTATATGGAACCAATTGGGATTGTTGCCTTGTAATCAACTTTATTATGTTTGAATTTGTGATGGTGGTAGGTGGTGTCAATGGTGGTAGGTAGATATCAATGGTGAGGGGTGGGTGGTGATTTTGGATTTTATTTAGTTTAATGTTTAATCTTTTTTTATATATAATGTACATATAATATATCTTTTATTTAAATAAAAGAGAGAAAAATGAAAATTGTTCGGAATATCACTCATTTAATTGGATCTAACAGAGAAAGTTAATGGTCGTTAGAATAGAGACGCAATTTATTGGAAATCGACAAATGTGAATACTCAAATCTGAGTTTCTAAATTTTAGAAATGACATCTATTGAAAAATACAAATATTAAGGATCAAAATTAATCTTTATTCTGTATGTTTTTGAGTCGTTGACGGAATAAAAATATAAATCAATTAAGGTTACTAATATATATGCATGTCCATGTGTGTGTGCGCGCATACACACACACATACATACATACATACATACATACATACATACATACATACATATATATATATATATATATATATATATATATAAGGTTGAGTTCATATAAGACCAATCCGTTTTCATGAGACCCGTGAAACCACTTTTTTACACTTGAAACTTCGCACATATATGTATATATACATATATACACGCGTACACACACACACACATACACACACACACACACATATATATATATATATATATATATATATGCATATAAGGTTGAGTTCACGTAAAACCAATTCGTTTTCATGAGACCCATGAGACCACTTTTTTACACTTGAAACTTCGCAGCAAAATGTTGTGAAGGTAAAGAAAAGACAAACCTTCACAACAAAAAACTGTGAAGGTTACTTTCACAGTGTTTTGTTGTAAAGTTTCAAGTGTAAAAAAAGTAGTCTCACATGATTTCAACTCTCTCTCTCTCTCTATTACAATAGAACGTGAACCCGACATTCTTTCCTGTAGGTCTATTTCTTTAAACCTTGATTTCTACTTTTAGAAAACTTATTTCACGACACCCAAGTTTGCATCAAAAAAAATTATACTGTTATCGACGATGAAAAAATATACAAGACCCATAAAAAAAAGTTTTTTTTTGTTAACTGTGACTGTTTGGACTGATTTTAACGCACTTCAATAATTCCAAGAGACAAGAGCCTTGAATAACAGCCAAGAAGAATTGAAGAAAAGAGACGCACCGTGAGAAACGCATCGAGGGAGAAAGAGATGGTGACGACCACCGTGGGAGAAAGAGATGGAGACAGTGAGCGATGAAATTTCAAGTTAGGGCAAAAAAAAATCCGACGGAAATGGATTTACAAAGCCATGTCTTTCCAAACGATTCTCAAATCCATTAGTCACGAAATTTTAAATGAATCACTGGATTTTAAATCCTAACAATCCTATAAACCAAACATATAATTGGAATGGATTTTAAATCCAATTACATTCAATTTCTGCAAACCAAACGCACCCTAAGGATCTTGTAGGACTCAAATCGATAACCTTTAAGGAAAATCTCCCAAAAGTCAAGTCTTATTATCAGATAAACTCACCATAAAAACATTCTTATAAAAGCCATACTGTGTTTTTTTTACTGTTATATTGTGTTCTTGTTTAATGAGTTAAAAAATTATATGGTAGGAAATAATACAAAAAAATGAATTATTAATCTATCAAAGATGCTATTATAAACTAGAGGGTGTTTTGGGATTACTTATAAAAATAATTTATTGATTTATTTTGGTGTGACACCGATAATAAGTATTGTTGAATGTCTGGATAAATAATTTATATTGGTGAGAAACCGATAATAAAGAGTTTAATAAATTAAATTGACTGTTCTTGAGTTGGTGAAATGACGATACTACCCTTTTGGATTCTAGTTCATTCGTTTAGCCGCTATTTTTCTTTTTTGACTATTTGTTTTTTTATCCAGTTAGGAAGCTGTCGTTGCTGCATATCTATGGCGTCCACAACGACCTCCGATCCCGAACACCACCATACCTTCTCATCTATCGGCAAGGTCTCTTTACGTTTTAACCTACTCTTCCTTTACTATTTCTTAAACTTGTTCTTTTTATTAAATTTGTAAGGTTTTCTTTGCATATGATGGTGTAATTTGTGAGTGATTTATACTTTTATAGGCAGGGAAGTCATCTGGTGAAATTGAGGGTATGGATGTGCCTCTAATCAATGGTCGTCGTCAGTCAGAAAATTATTCGGTAGTTGCTGCTATTCTTCCGTGAGTTTCTTCTGTGCAAACCCTCAATTTGAATTTTTGCTCCTACTTTATCCATTTATGTATATGAAGTGTTTGATTTAGGAGTTTTTTTTGCTGCTGTTTCTGTTGTAATTGTGATTTTTCCCTGTTGCGTGATATTAGTGGATGCAGTGAGCAGAATTTGTAGTCTATGGTCGATGAAGATCATCAAAGTTCAAATAATTAATTAAACTTTTTACAAAGGATACCATTAGGTGGGCATGGGTGGTAAATTGTTACACTGTCGTATTGATTTTGAATTTAAACATACCAGATTTAAAATTAATGTGGCGTTTGTGGGATTTGGATTTCGTTTGGAACAGGAGGGATTTGAATTTGGAAGGATTTTAAATCTTTAGTATGTTAGGTTTGTCGATCTGAAATGGAATTAAATTTCATTTTTTATAAATAATTTATAAAAACAAATTATAAATTAAATGGTCTTTTTATTAATCGCTTATATTATAAAACAACCGTTTTCAACATATTTTAAAATATTATTATACACAAATCCAACGAAATACCAACAACCCCCATGGGATTTCTAAATCCCATGTTTGTGGGATTTCAATTCCAAGCAATCTTTCAAAACAAACATGGGATCGGAATGGAATTGAATTCCAAATCTCTCCAAATCCTATCCAATACTACAAACCAAACGAGACCTAACCTAAGAGAATATAAATTCATCTCTTTTTGTTTTATGTGGACGGAATAGCATGGTTATAAGTTTTTGCAAGTAATACCAGGGGAGATAGAAATGAAGTTGTGTTCAGCCTTTATGTCTTGCAATTGGACAACTGATGGGTCATTTATTGAGTGACTATAATTTATGTGGCATGGTATAGAAGTGCCAGAGTTATAAAATGTCATCAATCTTTCCATTTGAAGTGATGAATGTTTTGATGATGAATAACTCTATGATCTCAGGTTTCTTTTCCCTGCTTTTGGAGGCCTATTATATGGATATGATATCGGTGCCACCTCTTCTGCTACAATTAATATAAAGGTCTCTTTTTTTATTTCTAGTTAAATTCTTAACTATGAAACAACTAGCATTATTTCTCATAGCTCATATGTTTGTATATATATTTGATCAGTATGAGATTCATGTCAATTGTCACATTAGTTTCTAGGGAAAGGGAATATTCTTATTGTCCTGGGTCATGCATAAAAGATTGGTAATAGGATTGAAAAATTTGCTAGAGGAGGTAATCCTGTGGCAAAACGGCCATTTGCTTTGAGATGCAGAGATGGTTGGGGGTTAATGCTTTGTACACAACATTAATCTTACGTTTTGCAAAGAGGTTGTTCCCATGACCTAAAAGTTGAAATCGTGACAGCTCCGAAAGGAGTAACCTCGACTGTTCTTTCAAGGATCATCCATGAATTAAAAATTTCCGTACTTAAAAAATTTACTTTTTTCCTGAAGAGAAGAAAGAGGTGCATGCAAATAGAATACCATCATCTAAAAAAAAGAGATGACAGCTTTCGGACTAGTCATTTTTTTTAATGCAACTTATGTCTCAACATAGCATCTTCTTATTTCAAATTTTTTGTTGTGAATTTCACGCTAGCTTATTCCATGTACCATGAACCCACAAAGACGTTAAAGGGTTTAGGTTTGTTGTTTCTCTCTCTTATATATAATATACTCGCTACCTCTTTCCAATCCAGTGGGTCTGAGCCAGCTGAGTTCCCTTGAACTAATTTTTTATGATATGAGAATTTTGTCAAAGGATTAGCCAGATTCTATAATAGTCATGGAAGTAATTAAAGCTTGCCATGGGTAGTAGCGACAATAGCTTGTGAATAGTGAATCACTTCCATACATGAGGAAGGCTTTGCTTTCTATATGAATTATGAGATTGAATGTATAGTACTGTTATTTTGTCTTGTATGATGAAGCTTGGTGCAGTCTCTTTCATTTCTACTTTTATGTCTTCCATTCTTCACCTCTTCATTGTTTATTATATATTTTTAAATGCTGCAGTCACTTACATCTAGTGGCGTCTCATGGTATGACCTGTCGTCCGTGCAAGTTGGTCTCATCGTAAGTTTGTAAATTTCTTTCTGCTTGCTGCAATGCATTTTCTTGCACTCATACAAAGCTAACGTTTCTCCTTGCTTTCGGTCATTGCAGACTAGTGGTTCGCTATATGGGGCTTTGATTGGTTCTATATTGGCATTTAACATTGCTGACTTTCTAGGTTAGCTTTAATCCTAATTGAGGACTTGAAGTTTCAAATTATGACTTGTTTCTGTCTTGGTGAAGTATAAGTAACGAGTGTGTATTTAAGGAAGAAGGAGGGAGCTGATGGTTTCAGCTGCATCATATATTATTGGTGCTTTGGTAACAACACTCGCACCTGGTTTTGCAATTATGGTGATTGGGCGATTTATATACGGTGTAGGAATTGGACTGGTAAGATATGAAGCTATCTTCTGAACTATTATGACCCTTGATAACACAAATGTGTGTATTTGCTTTGGCAATATCATACACACCCTTGCAAGCACAACTGATCTTGCTCACACGTGATAGCTCCCGATATGTTTGAGTCTAAATAAGTTAGTGAATCTGTGGACATATACTTTCTCCATGCCAAACTACAAGATGCTTTTGGTATAGCCTTACTTACATTTAGAGGAAAACAAGGTTAAGCTGTTGAAATTATGTATGACTACCTTACTACTTTTATCATCTTCAAATCAGTTAAACTGAATCATGTCAATTTTGAATGGCTCATTAAATAATTAAGTTCACAAATATATAATTTTGGAAAAGAAAGACAATAATTTTATACTTATATCTTACTTTTTATGAGGTTCCTTTTATGTTATTATGAAGCATGCCGTAAAAACTTGCAGAATGTTTTATACTTCCAGTTGCTTTTCTATATAGGCAATGCATGCTGCTCCAATGTACATTGCTGAGACAGCTGCTTGTCAGATACGAGGTCGGTTGATATCCCTCAAAGAATTCTTCATCGTTTTGGGAATGGTTGTAAGTAGTTTCATCTTTTTATGAGATCTTTTGTGCATGATTGACTTTGTTCGACAGTCTATCTGCACTTCATCCTGATATGTGTTCCCGTTAAATCGCCTACCTCAACTAGTTTGGATTTCCAGCCTTAGAGTTGTCATTTCTTACAGATGGATCGTCTTAAGGGTGTTCCTTTGAAGTGTTCTTATCCTTTTCTGAAACGAAAGATTATAGGGTTATTACATTTTTTTTCATTGCAGTTAGGCTATGTGGTTGGTAGCCTCTTGGTCGATGTGAATGCTGGTTGGCGCTATATGTATGCAACTGCCGTTCCTTTCGCAGTAGTTATGGGTATTGGGATGTGGTGGCTACCTGCTTCACCAAGATGGATTCTCCTACGTGCAATCCAGGGAAAAGGCGATATGCAGGATCTACGAGAATATGCCATTTATTGCTTACGCCGTCTCAGAGGTGAAGCCATTAATAACTCGGCATCTCAAGAAGTTCAAGAGATTCTGGTTGAACTATCTTATATCAGTGAGGAAAATGAAGCTACCTTAGGGGAGATGTTCCAGGGAAAATGCTTGAAAGCCCTGACTGTTGGGGGAGGTTTGGTCTTGTTCCAGCAGGTAACTTTATAGCATCGGAACTTGGCTTCTTTCACCCACCAAATTAACCGTGAACTAAGCTTAGACATGTCGCTCTTGCTGACAGATAACAGGTCAACCTAGTGTACTGTACTATGCTGCATCAATTTTCCAGGTACACAATTCTTAAATTTGATGTCCTACTGAAAAGCACATGGCATGCGGGAAGTTTGATTTCTTCATTTCTCTAAGTTTCTAGAACATGTTTCGTACCTGAATTTCTACAATCTTATAGACTGCAGGGTTCTCTGCTGCATCAGATGCAACAAGGGCGTCCATTCTACTTGGTTTGTTAAAGGTAGACTCTCAAATAGACCCCTCTTTCTCTCTTTCCCTCCCTCAAAAGAAACAATAATACTAATTTCAAATAAATACCGTTATATAAGATAACTGTTGATGGACTCATGATGTTACTTCTAATATCTCCATTATTGTTAAATTTCTGTTTTAGAGCTCAATGTCATTGACACATGTTCCTATTCATAATCTACAGGTTGGAATTGCGTTCTACAATAAGATTTCTTTTGCTTACACTTACACTCATGAAATGACTGAGTCCATCATAATGAATTCAATGGAATTCGAGCAAAAATACCCTTTATTATTATTATTTATTTGCTAGTATTATTATAATTATTTTATCCTCATCAGCGTTGTCATCATTATTACTCTGTTGCTGCTACTACTGCTGCTGCTGCTGCTGCTGCTACTACTACTATTATTATTATTATTATTATCATTATCATTATCATTATCATTATTATTATTATTATTATTATTATTACTATTATTATTATTATTATTATTATTATTATCCATTTCCATGTATTTATTCGCAAGGCGAACAAGAAATCACAAAGGAATTGAATGAAGGGTAAATTGGACAATTGCCATTATTTATATTCCAATTCCAAAGATCTATATACAAACTAAACATGAAATCACAAAGAAGTTAAATTGCAATTCCATTCCATGCCAACCAAACATGTGGGTTGACCACATTCCATCCATTAAATTCTCTCCAATTCTAATTCCTTCCGAGAAGAAAATGTGAACCAAATGACACCTTGTTGATTTTGAAATTAAGTTTCACCTGTTTGTTCATGTCATTTATGTCCTTGTTCTTGTTCAGTGATTTCCTGTGTTTTATGATGATAAACTGTCTCTAGTTTGTCAACTATATAAACAAGATCAACGTTGATTTTCTCTCCCCGTATCATAACGCTCGTCTTGTATCTGTCTTCCTTTGATGAATTATGTTCTTTACACTTTCTCAGTTAGTCATGACTGGTGTAGCTGTTATGGTTGTTGACAAACTTGGGAGGAGACCCTTGCTCCTTGGGGGAGTTTCCGGCATTGTAAGTTTCCATTGCCATGATAGGCTAAACTTTCAATATAAGTTAAGCAAGACCTATTGGACTAGCTTTATATGTTGCAAAAATCTTGGTAAGAATTTTGGGGATGTTGGCAGTAATTAAAGATTATGCGTTGCATTGCAGGTAGTTGCGTTGTTTCTCATGGGATCATTTTACACTTACCTTGGTAATGTGCCTGCAGTGGCTGTTGTTGCATTGCTGCTGTATGTCGGATGTTATCAGGTATAAGGCTGTACTTTGTCAAGTACTATAGCAATAGAATCTATCTTGATGCAAAGAACTCTGCTGTTTCTTGTGCTTACCATTTGTTCATTGCATAGTTTATCAATTTGCTTGTCCTTGTGCTCACCATTTTTGAAATAAATATTACTTTCTTTCTTAGCAAATAGAAGTCCATATAAGCACTTATTTTTAATACAATCACATAGAAACATTTACGTTTTGCTTAAAGTGATTAGTAAATATGTTCTTTTTTTACGTTTTGTAATATTTTTTCTACCCTGCATGTCTGTTTGAGTCCTGTGGTGCATCTAACACACGTCATATGTTGTATATAAATAAACTAAAAGAAGCTACTTTTTTTGCAGATATCTTTTGGTCCTATTGGCTGGTTGATGATTTCGGAGATCTTCCCTTTACGCTTACGAGGGCGCGGATTGAGTATAGCAGTCCTTATCAATTTTGGCGCCAATGCACTAGTTGCATTTGCATTTTCTCCATTACAGGTACGGGTCTTTTATGTTCAGCTATCTATATCTTCACATCTATACCCTGTTATATAAAGGATGAAGAGTCCATCTGTTATCATACTCATGGATAAGAATGTGTGATCATTGCATCGTCCCTGAAGAAATGTAAACTCTTACTGGTTGTGTGTTGACTTCGTTGAACAAAAACAAAAGTAAATTCTTATCTTTCTGGTTTCAGGCGTGCGTGTTTGTAGCCACAGATCCCATAATCCGTGTCACAGTGGTCACACAAACTAATTATGTAATATAAAATAAAAATTATAAAAGAATACAAAATTTTATTTTATTTTAGAGTTCCGCATCGGCTAGACTCTGACTGTTTCTCCTGTATATACTTGAGGGTTCTTTTGAAGAGTGATATGGGGTTTTCACATATTCTCTCAAGTTACAAAACACTTAGGGGCCGTTTACCAAATGCTTACCCGGATAAGCGCTTATCAAGTCACATTACCCTACCGGATGAATATGGCAAGGACCAAGAATCTTTCCCGGTAAGAACAGGGCAAGGACCAAGAGTCTTATCCGGTAAGAATGAGGCAAGGACCAAGAGTCTTACCCAGTAAGTGAAGGCGACAAGTGTACCACGGTTAGTGCTTACCGGGTAAATCGTTGCGTACAATGCCTTTTTGTTGACTAAAATCTTACCTGACTAGTAAGTGATAGTGCTGAATTTTACCTTGGTAAACGGCCCCTAGAAATCATATTCAATTTCTACGATTTACAATTAGGATTTTTGTGTTCCACCATCATTAACCATTAAAACTCAAATTTAAGCTACAATATGCTATTGTAGTCTCGCCGTTTTTCAGCGACATGCCTTGTGGTTGCACACAACGAAACACAATGGTGGCAACTGGCAAGGGTCATAATTTTTTTTTATTACGACAGAACAATTTAGTGGTGGCACAGGACTCCAGTGCCTTGTACATGGATCTGCCCCTTGGCCCCTGTGTGTTTGCATGTATGTAGACCAAGGAAGATATTCGGACCTTTCAATTCATGGAAGGGGATGATAGCTACTTTTTTATGTCTAACAAGATTATCAATCACTCGTCAGATTTATTCGGGCCATTTCCCACTAAGTGACATGGAGTTTCTCTAAAGAAACAATTCATTTTCTGTTTATCGCACCCGTTCTTTGCACATACTCTCACATGTAGTTTGCTCGCTTGCATTTTTAATTTTCATTTTGCAAGTTGGGTGTTCATAGAAACAACTCATCTACCCTTTCTACGTACATCCTATCCCCCAGACCCACCTCTGTGTGAGATTTACTAGGTTTCTTTGGTTTTTGTTTAGGATTTGCTTGGGGCTGGAGCAGTGTTCTTCATCTTCGGAGGGATAGCAGTCTTGGCTCTCGTTTTCATCTTCTTCATCGTACCGGAAACAAAAGGGCTCACTCTCGAGGAGATCGAGGCTAAACTCCTGTAAAAAGGGTAAGCCCTCTTCCCACCGGGCCGTCTCATTATTTTATAGCTATTGAATGTAACTTTCGAGTCTCTAATTCGACCATCTTGTTGTGTATCTCCCTTAGTTTTAAGGTGTTAGTTTGAGAATTCTCTTAATGGAATAATCTTGAAAATACACAAGAATTTATGTAATATCAAGAGCTTGATCTTCATCAACAAATAGTCTCCATTAATTTCTTCATCTTCATTAATTTGGTTTCAAGTTTTATTGCCTTATCAAATGTTAAACCATGTCACCTGTCTAATTCGGCTTGTTTGCAAGTGTGAGAATATGTGGAACCCTAGATTAATCTCCAAAATAGCCCTTTAAGAAGGGAACAGGAGGTTTCAACGTATATAGTGGAGAAATAGTCAAAGATCTAGCTGATGTGGGACCCTTACAGTAAGATTGTCTTTTGAGTGCTCGGGATTTTGCTACGAACTCCCAACCCATTGGTTATTAACTTTCTAAATTAAACAACGGGATTACTCGTATACCTATGAAGTTTGTATACATTCGGTGTAAAATGCAGATGCAAAAAGTGGTACCCTTGCCCGAAAAAGCTTAGGTGCAGTAAGCCTGAAGCTCGGGTTCGGTTTAGACCTAAAAGCCCGATCCGACTAGGTTTTTTTCCTCTTACTCAAAAACCCCTTATTGTTGTGCATATTTATGTCAAACAAAAGTAGGAAAACGATCATGAAAACCTTTATCATTGTACCCGTTAAATTGTCATCACTGAGAGGAGGTGGAGCTTCAAAAACAAGGTCTAGCGTTCAAATTCAACCCACCCACCCATTCATCTTGACTTATGAGTTATGACATTGCAATTTACCTTTCACATGATGACTGTGAGACCCATATAATAAAATTATTTTTGACACCGTCCATTTTCACATAACTTTTTATGGTTCTTTCATTTGGAGTATCAACAAAGAAGTTTACTATTCACATACTTAGATATTAAAATGGTATCAATCACATTATATGTTTTATTTGTTCGAAAATTTTGGGATATCAACTTTAGTTAATTCTAGGGGGTCTATGGGGGAACTTTAATAAGATTAAGGGCTATTTTGTAACTTTTATATAAAGTTAAGGGTCTAAGTGAACATTTTTCAAAATATATCATCGGAAAAGGAAAGCGTGGTTACAGAAAGACCACAAGCAACCAAAAAGGGATTTCCAGGAAGACCGACGAAGAACAGAAATGGCATTCACCGTGAATTTGGCCCCGTTGTCCCTCCGATCACCAGAAATCACCGCCGGAAACAATAGTTCTTTAAAATCCGGCATATCTTTCACCAAAAAGAGACAGATGTTGGCCTTTGCCGCCAATAATTCGACTGAAGAACCACCGACAATCAAGCCGGAAATCCAGCTCGAATTTATAGCGGTAAGTCGATTCATTGGTTGTTGTTTTTTTTCATTTTTTCTTTTTTTAAAGTTTCTTAAATTGATAAACAATTTGTTTTTGGTGGTGTTTGTGATGAAACGAAGCCAAAAGCCGGTGGTGATGGGAAGTATCCGGTGGACAGAGCGGCGGCGGTGAGCGGAGATAAACTGCTAAGGACAATCATGGAGGATAACAAACTGGAGCTTTACGGGACGTATGTATGTTACTTTACACCTCATCAACTCTCATCCTCACATTACCATTAGTGGCATATTGCATTTAATGGGGTGTTTGGGAGTTGTTATAAGTTAGAATGTTTTAAATTCTTCGATAACTCTTTTTACCAGTTTGATACTGGTATAAGGTGTTATCCAAACACTTAAAAGTGTTTATTACCGGTATCACATTCAAATAAGTTAATAAGTTGCTTTTATAAACAATCTCAAACACCCCAGAAAATGGAACATTTGAGAACATTCAAAGATTTACAAGTCTCCATAGATCAAAACTTCTATGTTGAGTTGACCGTTTGCGAGTTTGAACTGGACCTAACTTATTTTTTTGTCCGGATTAATATAGCAAACTCAAAACTGTTTTGTATGGGCTTGAAAATTTGCCGCTACCCGTCTTACAAATGGGTCGGCTTGTCAATGGGCTAAAAATCAATTTTGCATTTTAAAGAAAAAACAGAACTTATATTCAATCACGAGTTACGTAAAATAATTCAAAATACATAGTAATTTTTTCAACTTAAAGTTAAACGTAAATACATAACAATGTACATAATTTAGAAAACAATGTACATAATTTAGAAAAAAATGTTTTACAAAACATGGAGTATCGATAAAATAAATGACCAAAAAAGATACTAAGAATTGATCAATTCAAGTAATTATGGTGACAGGAGTCGGGAATTGACAATTATCAAGGATTTTTTTAGTTTATTTGTAAATTTTAATTATGGAAGTTGATTATTATAGAAACATTAACGGGTTGAGCGTGTCTATTCAAATCTTTTTTGCATCGTCCATGTCTGTCCGTTAATTTCAACGAATCTGGGCCCGCCTCTTTTTCGACAATGGTGACAAAATAGGTGTAACGGGCCACTATTGATTCTTAACTAATTGGGTTGAAACAACCTGCCAAACCCTCAAATGACCTAGAAAGAAATTTGGAACCGGGGGCGAATGCTAGTATATCACGAAGGGTGCATGTGCACCCGTTTCGTGCTGACGCGAAGGGAAAAGAATTACGTATCTTATAGGTGCGACCGCTTTAATTTCATGTGTGCCCACCAATTTAGCAAAATGTGGTTATGGTTTATTATTTGTATGCGGTATTATAGGTTGCAAGTTTAAATTCATATATATTTCAAAAAACCACTTGTTTATCATTTTTAATGAGACTGTATTTTTATAATTAAATTTTGTTTTATTTATATTATGTTAATTATTTTATGGCTCCGTTTTTGACTTTTTTTCTGAATCCGTCTCTACATGAACTAATGAGCAAATCAGTTCAGTTACTACTTGTAATGACAAAATGGAGTAATTAACGACCCGTGGTCTTATTTCGCTTATAGAAGTCGATAAAATCACGATAAGAAACCACAAGGGTGGCGGTTGATTGGTTTGAGCTTGACTCCAAAGGTCAAAAGTATCAGGAGGTCCCAGGTTCAAATCGAAAGAGGAATAAAAATCCTCTTGTGGCCACGGAGGTTCAAATGTGGTGACTCCGGGCTATCTGCAAAGCATGTGGTCACCCTGGGATTAGTCGGCTCGCATAGCGGGTTGGATATCTAGGTTAATAAAAAAAAAGTCACGATAATGTTGTCTATTCGTTTATACATCTATCCTACATTGTCGTCCTCCATTTTATGTATCTCGTTCTCATTTCTTGATAAGTCAAGTAACTGAGACTCGTAATCGTATATTCATTTTTACGTTGTATAACTAAGACCCACGAAACCAAAGCCTTGAATGTCGAAAAATTCGTTTTCGAAGGGAAAGTTGATGAACTGCGGAGGTGGTGGAAGCTGCGGCACTTGCATCGTGGAGGTACGTTTTCTACGAATCCTTTGTGCATTTATTATGCGGATGCTACGCGAAGAATTAGTAGTCTTTTGTTAGAATATTTCCGCTTGATGAAACATACGTGTTCTTTATCGTCTCTTGTTATATTAGGTTGTAGAAGGAAAGGAGCTTTTAAACGAGCGAACAAATACCGAACTCAAATACTTGAAGAAGGTTTCTGTTCTTCAACACGATCCTTTCTGTGTTTCAAACGGGTTGTTTACTAAACAATTATTCTCTCTTACCGTATAACTGAACACTTACCATCTCTTATTGGGTAATAGACGCTTACGTGGTCACTGGTTAGAGCTGATGTCTTTATTAAAATAGCATCTAATAAGTAACTTTACCACCGTGTCATTTTCCTAACCAAGATTCTTACCCAGTAAGCGCTTACTGGGTAAGAGACACTTGTAACGGGGTAGAGTTACTTGTTAGATGCTATTTTGATGACCGAGAATTTTATCCACTGAAGTTAGTGGAAGTGTTGATTTTTACTCGGTAAGTGCTTATCCAGTTTGTGTTGGTAAACAACCCCGAAATGTGATAACAGACCAGCAGTTTTGAATTATGTTCATAATATATGCAGAAACCCGATTCTTGGAGGTTAGCTTGCCAAACAATAGTCGGGAACAAAGAAAATTCCGGCAAGGTAGTAATTCAGAGGTTGCCTCAAAGGAAGAAGTGATATCAAGAATCTGTATACAAGTCGTCTTGCCGATGGTTCGTCCCATAAAAGTAACAATTCTTTTACGATATGGTTTAGAAGATTGAACGTTTTTAACACCGATGTATATTTCTTTGTTCAATGGCACCAAAAAACGCAAAGATGTGGCTTAAGTTGGGGCTTTTCGTCTTTAAGGGCGGTTATTTTTGACTTAATGGTCTGAATGGCTTATTCAATAAGCCATATACGAGTGTTTGTTTATAACTCAATTAGTTGTTTTCGTATCGTTGTTCGTTAGAGCAAAATGACATGCTAAAATCCGAGTACTCATGAAAATGTATGGGACGTTCTTAGGGGCTGTTTAGCAATTGCTGAATGATTTGGTGCAGAATAATTAAGAGGCTCTCATGATATAGTGTAAAATGAAATATAATTGTTTGATAATTGTGTACAATGAAATTAGAGTTTTTAATGGTCAAGGGAGATCTAGGATATAAAATTTATAACCATTAAGAGGCAGGGTTTTTTTTTCTTCCAAACAAGATTCACCTCTTAACGGTTCAGATGTTGTCTCTTAATGGAACTATTAAGAGGTAAACAAACAACCCTTTAGTTTGTAAAGATATGGAGGATCTTTATAAACCAAAATACGCTTTGATATCCAAGAACATTAAGTAATGCCACAGTCTGATCATATTAACATAAATAATTGTATATAGACTATAATAAAAAAAATACGTTTTTTTTATAAATTATACGATTATAATCGTCTCATCAATACCTTCAAAATGAGTCCAATATTAAATATTTTTAGATTTAATCATCTAATTAATTACCATAAATACGTAGTGAACTATTTTTAAAACTTATATTTTATATATTAAATGGTTATTTATTTAATTTGTTTTATATTGCTTACTATTTTAATTTTCGTTTCAACACTCTTATCTATCTATATTGTATTATTAAAAGTATTAAACAATATTTATTGAATTTTAAAACGTATAAGTTTTGATGTTGCATGTATAACTCTAACAGCTTTTGCGTATTGTCGAAAATGAAAAGGTACAACCCTTGTGCTGTCTCGAGAAAGTGAGTTTGTATGCCTGTTGGGTCTTTTTCTGACTTTTTCACTCGGCAAATTATCAAGTCGATGCTCATATAACTGCATTTTGATACTCTCACTTGTCCCTTCGATAAGCTGATCTTTAATTGCAAAAGTGATGGCTTATATAACTCCATTTTGATCCTCTCACTTGTCCCTCCGGTAAGTTGATCTTTAATTGCAAAAGTGATGGCTTATATAACTGCATTTTGATCCTCTCACTT